GTGCACAATTGGGGATGTGGCGCTAGCTTCGCTGTGATTGGCACACGCACCAGGTGGTTCGCAGGTTGTGAGTGGTTGTTGGAGAAAAGATGGGAGTCTGTAATTGGCTGAGCAATGTGATTGGTTGTGGAGGAGACCGACGAGGAGGAGGCTTCAGTGTGACGGTGTGTGGGCTGGTGTGCGGTCGTGTTGGCGGTGGTTGTCCAGACAGAGGTATGCAGTGTAATTTGTTGGTGTGATTCGTTTAGGTGAATGAGTCGGCAGTCTTCTTGTTGTTCTACTCCTTCTTGATCGTGGACATCGACTGAAGTGGACACTGTGGCGTGGGTGCGTGCCTGAAGTTGCCATGGTGGTGGTGTGGCTTAGGAAGATGGCAGGTTTGGCGGGACACCACAGTGACTTGATGGAATTGTGTGGCGTGGAGTAGTAAAGGTGTTTTGGTACAGAGAGGTACAACATGAGTCTGCGTGGTGGATGCTGCGCCTCAGTGAGGCGGCATATCACTAGTAGTTGCACGTTAATGAGCTTGGTGGTTGGTGTGCACGTCGTTTTGTTTTTAGAAACAGAGACCACTTCCTGGGAACGATTAATGCTTTGTGAGTGCTCCAGTGCTTCAACGACAACTGCTCTGGCTTCCTCGGGCATCACATTGCAGTGGAATGGACTGGACTGGACTTGTGGAAGAAGAAGGAGATGAAGAAAGTGTAACCGAGGGGGTTAGAATGTGGGAGAGAGAAGGAGGAGGAAGAGGAGGATGAGACCCCTGCGGCGAGGGTGAGTAGATGGTTCTGATAATTTTGATGCGTCAAATCACCAGATTGAGTAAATGCTATGGTTGTAGGTGTCGTTGGTGGCTGTATTTAGTGTGTGTGAGTGTGGAGAGCCATAACGAATGTAAAGAGAGCCTTTTGGGTAGAGAAAAATCTATTTTTTGGCAAATCCTGCAAAACACGTTTATGAGCTTTATAAAGATCTTCGATAATAGCCTTGTTGGGTGGAAGGGGGGGCAGGCAGCGAAAAGAGCAACATGACAGCAGGTGTGCTTGAAAAAAAATTTACTTAATAATATTTCATGAACAACTAGTTTAGAGCTGATTTTAATGAGATTGATGAAATATCACATATCATGAATCGGATTTCAATCGCAAAGGGAATTACCTCATTTTAAGTTAGTTCTGTAATGACTCGACTTGACTTGAACGACATTTAGCTGGATTTACTTTACTTTTATTTCCCACTGAGACGATTGGCAGGTGGTTAATAATGCACCCTAATTTATTGGGTGGTTTTTTTAAACTTGTGCAGTCGTGGTCTTCAGCACCATGGATTTTTGATAGAAAGTGGGGTTAGAGAGGGGTTTGTCGGGGGAGGAGTGGAGGGAAGAGGGACTTGGAATAGCGCCTGAGTAGGTGCTAACTTGTCTAGGTGTTAGTAGTACTGGGTATCACTCACTGATTCTACGGCTGCAGAGAAAATTAGCGTTTTTTAAAAGCACAACGAAACGAGGCTCGTTAGGTCGTGGACGTGAGGCATTCCACATGTTTGGAGGATGGTACCGAGGTGTAAATTAGGTCACGGCCTATTGCCTATGAGTAGGCAGGGCTTGTTGGATCAACAACGGCAAGTTAACGGAAAAAATTCATGTGGCGGGTGTCGAGGTGTAAACACCGTGTCTACTAATATTCCGCTAGTAGTGAGGGTGTCACAGATTACTTTCGCGAAGGGAATCAACTTTTGAATGGAATTGTGCTTGGAAAAGGAGGGAAGTGGAATGTGGGAGAGAGTAGGTGGACTGAGATGAGGATGAGACGCCTGCGACGAGGGTGAGTAGATGGTTCTGATAATTTTGATGCCTCAATTCACCAGATTGAGTAAATGCTATAGTTGTAGGTGGCGGTACTTAGTGCGTATTGTTGTGGAGAGCCATAACGGATGTAAAGAGAGCCGTTTGGATAAAGGAAAAGTTATTTTTGCCATAATCCAATAAACACGTTTAAGAGCATCAAATAGATCTTCGATAATAGCCTTGAGGGGTGGGAGGGGGAGCAGGCAGCGAGGAAAGCAAAAAGACAGCATATGTGCTTGAAAAAAATCACTTAATATTATTTCATAGGTAATTAGTTTGGAGCTAATTTTACCTAGGTTGATGAAATATCACATATCATGAATGGGATTTCAATCGCTATAGGAATTACCTCATTTTAAGTTGGTTCTGGAATGACTCGACTTGACTTGGAACGACAATTAGTTAGATCTACTTTGCTTTAATTCCCACTGAGACTGTCGGCAGATGGTTTATGACGCATCTTAATTTAATTGGGTGATTTATTTAAACTCGTGCAGTTGTTGTTCTTCTTCATCACCATGGATTTTTGATATAAAGTGGGGCTATGGAGGGTTTAGTGGGGGAGAAGGGGAGAGGAAAAAAGTGTAAACTTGGAATAGCGCCTGAGTAGATATTAACTTGTCTGGGTGTAAGTGGTACCGATTATCACTCACTCATTCTACTGCTGTAGCGAAATTTGGCGTGGACTTGAGGCGTTCAACATGTTTGGAGGATGGTATCGAGGTGTAAATTAGGTCACGGCTTATTGCCTGTGAGTAGGCAGGGCTTGTTGGATTAGCAACAGCAAGTTAACGGAAATACCTCGAGTTAAGGGGCGGGTGTCGAGGTGCAAAAAACCATGACTACTGATATTCCGCTAGTAGTGAGGATATCGCTGACTACCGTCGCGAAGTGAATGCACCTTCTGAATGGAAGTGTGCAGAAGACATGACAGCAGATGTGCTTGACAAAAAATCACTGAGCGGTATTTCGTGAGTAATTAGTTTGGGGCTGATTTAACTTAGATTGTTGAACGATCACATATCATGAATGGAATTTCAATCGAAATAGGAATTACCTCATTTTAAGTTAATTTTGGAACGACTCTAATTGACTTGGAACGACAATTAGCTAGATTTACTATACTTTAATTCCTACCTTATATGCAGATTGAGGCATTCAATATAGGCACCAAAATTCCTCATAAATGAGGGCAATCTGTGTCCTACAGGTTTGAAAGGATAAAACAAAACATGCATCGCTCTTTGACGATTACCGATCGATTTAAATGTATAACTTTACATTAGTACATTTATTGTTGCTGTTTCAAATTGGCAAAAATCTTAAAGGTTTTATTTTGCAGCTGCTCAATTTAGAAAACCAAGAGAAATCCTGGATTTTATTAGAAAAGTAATGCTTCGTTAAACATGTTAACTTTTTTTCCTCGTCAGTTTTGATTTTTACAGTTAAATTTTAAATGGACCACATGCACGATTCCCCATTTTATATTTCGCCCCATTGGTAGTGCTGTGTGAGTTTATCATCCTGATTTTTGTCAATTACACTGTCTTGGTCTAGTTTGTGCTGTTTCAGTTGTTTTTTCTTTTATTTCATTAACGCTAATTGCTTCTTGTTGTCGTGTCGTATTATTATGTAGACAAGGTCGAGGAATTCACATATCGTTATTCTGGTCGTCTTGTTCGAGTTACGAAGACTGCTAGACCCGCTGCCGTGCCTAACGCCGCGTACGAGAAGAAGTCCTCGAAGAAGGCCTCGGTGGCCTCCTGAAGGCACATTTGCTCGGTGCTTTTTACAGTCGTATATATTCAGGAAGAGTAAATGTACACCTTAATACCAAGGAATTTGGTGTTTGGCGACGCCACTCAAGTCAGAAAAGAACATTAGGGACTATGCGAATGCATTCTTCAGGATTTCAACGTGTATAAAAGGCCTAACAATAACATTTGTGCAATGAACAAATAGGAATGTCCACAACACAACATCAGGGAGCCTGGGAGGTTGGGAGACACGGTCTGGCGGCATGCGCATTACTGAAGAAAATGGGTGAACCTGCAGAAAAGATGGAGATCCACAAGCTTCACGGTGACGTGGTTCGCGTGGGCAGCCGCCATTGCCACGTTCGAGAAGAGGTCCACGAGGAAGCCCTCGACGGCCTCCTGAAGGCAGTCAAGCGCCGACGCCTGCCAGCGTAGGGTCAGCGCCGACTCGATGCGCGTCCGCTCGGCTATAGACCGCACCGCGCGTGCGAAGGAGGCTCGTCTACAAGAAACTGGTGTACTAGTTATTTTGGGTTGAAATCTCAGGGCAACACTTCCTTCCATAGCAGGAGCATCAAATAAGGACCTTTAAATTTTAAAGCCCGCAGACCACCTGATTCCAAAATATCAAATCGACACACTTGAACGAGATAAAAGGTAATAGTTTTTATTCCTAAACGCATTGTACTAAAATGACGTCTTCATTTTATTTGCATTATTTATAAATTTATAGACTTTTAATAGGCTAATTAAAACTCATTTTGTGGTTAAGC